ACACAGCGAGCGAGAGAGAACACAAGCAGGGGGAGCGGGAGAGGGAGAAGCAGGCCTCCTGCCGAGGAGGGAGCCCGATGCGGGGCTTGATCCCAGGAACCTGGAATGGACCTGAGCCGAAGGCAGACGCTTAACGACTGAGCCACCCAGGCGCCCCCAGGCTGTGTAGTCTTAATGTGCCTGCTGGATATACCACTTCCGGAAGCAAGTAGTTCTATGTGAGTCTTCTCTAAATATGATAAGCTTCTGTGACTTAAGTGCACCTATTAGATAAAAACAGTCATGTAATCTTATTCATAACTGATCTGGACAGTGTCCAGATCAACAAAGCTGCAGATAAGTTGGATACAGTGAAAGCCAATCTCCCATGTGGTGCTTTGAGGCAATCTAGATTGAATACTGTCAAACTGACTCAATAATATCCTCTTTTGGAGGAATAGTAAATGCTAGGTAAACAAAGAGAAAGTGGTTTACTTGAACTTAGGTGGGACACTGAAGCTCTAAAATATTGTTCTTATTCTCCCTTGGAACTGCTGTTTATTTCAATTTTGGAAGATAAATCCCCAGGGTGGCTACATAACCAAATGAGAGATGACTTTCCTATCTACCCCGTGTTTTTAGATCTCCTTGCAATTAAATTAATTCACATAGCACTTTGTGTCTCTTCCTTGCAGTCTTAACAAGATTGATAAACAGGAAGATCAGGGTTTGATGGGACTTGAAGCCTACATAATTTGGGGCGTGGGGTGAGCTGGGGGTGGGGGTGGGAAGGAGGTGCTTTAAGAAAAAATGCCAATGATGACTGGAAGAATCTCCCACAGATTAGCTTCTGGTTCTGTATATTTTAAGCCTTATCTCTCCTCCTTTACCTGTGTATTTCCAGGGCCAGGATTCACAGGACAAGTTCATATCAAAACACAAACTCTGATCCTGAACCTTCATGGCACACTGGGAGTTGACAATAACCCTGGAAGCCAATCCTGCACCTGGATGGCTAGCAGTAATTTAATTCCACTTGAAATTGATGTGAATCAAATAAATATATCCCACTAAATTCAAATTTTCATTTGCTGCATCCCCCAAATGCAGGCCACTGTGATCCACCTAACAGGAGGGAAAATGTGATAGAAGGGAAGGAAGTCAGAGAGGAGAGACACAACAGTCTTGGGCAACTGCGATTTAAATATCTTACTTTTTCTAATTTTACAAAAACAGAATGGCCATGTAAGCACATTTCTAGGGCCCTTCCCAGGGTTCTGGAGAGGGCTCATGTAAGGAGGGGACCCTGCATTAGTTTGACAGCATATCCTTTGCTGATATTCAATGTTAGGACAATATTTTTAAAAACAAGAATAAAGGAAAATGCTCACTAAATGTCAGCTGCTGTTAATCACTGATTAGTTAAATCTCTGGGCATTGGGTTTACTCACAAATTTACCTATGATCCTACCCAATTAAGAGAAGGAATGCTCTTCATAAGCAGGAACTTACTTGCCTCTTACAGTTTCTGTATTCACCTGTCCATCTTCTGTTCCCTGAAATCCTGTCCCATTCTTACAACCTGACTACCCCTGCATATTTGCATTTCTCTCCTTCTCCACTTTACCACTTTATCCTCCCTCTTCCAGTCAAATACAGGTTAAATACAAATACAGTCAAATACATATACTTAGCCCTTGTAATCCATGTCCCAATAAATTCTGACAAATTCTATTAAGAAAAGGAAAAGTCTGACTTTCGGTTCCGCCGGCTGGCTGTCCGATGCGACCCCGGCGCGCACTTCCGCTCGCCCTCTGACCCGCGGCCGAACGAACGGCCGGTGCGTTCTGCGACCCCCAACCATGCCCGCGGGCGTCTCCTGGGCCACGTATCTGAAAAGGTTCGCTGCCAGCCTCCTGACCATGTGCGCCGGGGGCCGAAGCGGGGCACAGGTACTACCGGCCGGACCTGACAATACCTGAAATTCCACCAAAGCCTGGAGAACTCAAAACGGAGCTTTTGGGACTGAAAGAGAGACAACATGAACCTCAAATTTCTCAACAATAGAAACCTCAAAATACTTAACTCTGCCAAGAACTCCGTGAATAATATTATAAGTATTAAATATATATTTTTAAAGTTAAAAAAAAGAAAAGTAGACGTCTTCAAAACATGAAACGTTCTTTGGTGAAATCACCACTTGTGAAATTGTTTCCCACTTAAATTGTTTCATCTGCTAACCCTAATGCCTACATCCACTCCTATCAAAGTCTTAGTCATCCATTTGGAAATATCTAGTCCTCAAAAACAATAGAAATTTATCGCAAATCTTGAAAAAGATGTGGACTTCCATAAAATTGATGAAAGTGATGTTGGTGAACTGCTGGATCCACATGCAAAGTGACTAATAAAGGAAAGCTCAGAGTTGGACCAGATAACAAATGAAAAAAAGACAACCAATAAGAATGATGATGACATCAATGCTTCAAAAGGAAATAATTTAGTTTCAAAGGATTAAGAAAGGACCTTGGAAAAACTGGGTAAAGCCCTCCAACATTTCTGCAAATATGACCCTGCTGCAGAAGTCAAATGCAAAGTGAAGGATAATGAGCTGTATGAAAATAACCATGTCCACAAATTAACACTTGATTTATCAGAATTAGCACAACATTGTAACAGTAACCTTAAACGTTAAATATAAGATAAATTCACTTTCATAATTTTTTGATTGCATTATTTCAAGATAAAGTTTCAATCAAGTCTTTTTCTTTCATTATGGAGTCTAGGTCTCCCTCTTAAATAGATTCACTCCGGGAGGACCTTTCCTGGAAAAAGGAGGAGGGAAAGGAAGACCTCTTGTAGTCATCTCTGTTTCCCAAACACACAATAGTAGAAGAATCCCTTCAGGAAACTGTAAAAATTACAGCCTCTTGGGTGCCCCTGCCAGATCAGTTCTGAATCTTCAAGAGCAGAACAGAACTTAGGACTCCCATCTTTTTGACAATCATCTTAAGAGATCCTTATGATAATCAAGCAAATGTGGGAACAAACACCTTAACTAATCCAAAGGGAAATGATGTAGTTTATTCTCTCTGTCATTCTCTCTCTTTCTCTCCCACTCTCTTCACTTTACAAAGTCTTTTTAAAACTTTGTCACCTGGAGTCATTGCACTCCTTTCTTCTTTCTTTTATCCTTTTTGCATGCCCTTCTTCCCAGATCAGTGTCTAATCTGTAAACAAAAGGTTTTTCAAACTTTATCAAGATTGTCTTTAGAATTTACAACCTGCTCCTGCATTTTGTTTTGTTTTATGGTATTTTAAAACACCTTTGAAAAAAAACAGAACTTTCTTTTCTCCTTTAAAAGTGAGTGTAAGTGATTTGTTTCAAATTTCTTTTTTCTACATTCCCTCAGCCTGCATTCTCATGAGCCCATTTTGCTCTATATTCATTTGGACATTAAACTGCTTTGTGAATATTACCATATCTTGTCTGTTCTTTCTGTACTGCCTGCCTATACTGTCAGCTCCTCAAAGACAAACACCACGGCTTTTATTTCTTCTGCATTTCCCCCACTGAGCCTAGGAGATGGACTAAGATTGACTAGCGTGCAACATGCTTCACCCAGTGGGTGCTTAATAAATATTTTAAAACAGTATTACATTGTTGAATAAATTTGACAGCAGTGCTGCTCATCACTTCAAATGCCAGCACTTTCTAGGTCCCTTCTCTGCCTAGCAACCATTCCCCAACATACCTCTATGTCCCCAGACATTGCATCCAAGCTGAAGCTCTCTTTTGATCCAGCTTTCCTTGCCTGAGTTGCGGAAATATTGTTTACATGTTTTCTCCTGAGGAGTGTCATACTGGTACCCACAGACTCTGCCGTTCAACTTGAAGTTGCTTTTTCCCCCTTCCTGATAGTGGGAGAGAAGGACGTAGGCATGAAGGTTTCCTTTCCGGTAGCACCCCCTTTTTTCCCCCAAATCATCTTTCACATTAAGATACAATGCCCCTATGCATAAGGGAATCAACTAAGGATGATTTTCCTTCTTAGGACCCAAGAGTGCTAAGGATTTTAGGTAAGAGGTTTTAGTATTTAATTAAATACTGTTTCTGCGGGAGCTTTATTCAGTACTTCATTTGTTAATGACTTACTACAGTCAGGTAGGCAACATTTCTCTTATAACATCATTTTCCGGGGCACCTGGGTGGCTCAGTCTTTAAGCGTCTGCCTTCCGCTGGGATCATGATCCCAGGTTCCTGGGATCCAGCCCGGTGTCGGGCTGCCTGCTCAGCGGGAAGCCTGCTTCTCCCTCTCCCACTCCCCCTGCTTGTGTTCCCTCTCTCGCTGTCTCTCTCTGTCAAATAAATAAATAAAATCTTTTAAAAAATAACATCATTCTCCTATTAAACATTATTTCGTGCCTATGAAAAACACGCCGCTACTTAATGCTGTACCAATCTAATGTGGTAACGTACAGAAAAGCTTATGCTTTTTCTTGGTTCGGGCACTGTGTTTTGCAAAGCACTTTGGCACGTATTTATTATCTTACTTAATCTTCACAAAAGGTTTGGTAGGTGGACAGAATAGGGGCCATTATCCAGAATGAGCAAGAGGAAACTCAGAGACATTAAGTGACTTGTCTAGTCACACACCTTGGAGGGACTCACACTGAAACAGGATTCTAGCTACAGCCAGTCCCATTTCCTGTGTCTGCCACTCTCACACGGCTCAACTTCACAAAATAAAGCTCTGCTATGTCCCTAAAGATGATATGTAAGGCTGCTAGGAAGTAGCAACAAGCAATAGACTGTAGGTAGCTAAAAGCTGGAAGCGGGGGGCGGGGGGAGGCGGTGCTGGCGAAAGGGCAAGGAAAGCACACTGTGCATGCGCAGATCGCTATTCGGGGCCCAGGACCCGGAGGAAGGTTGAGGAAAGAAGCGGAGCTCCTGGGCAAAGTCTTATCGCCTACCTTCCGCTAACGCGCAAGCGCACTTCCTCAGGATGAGGGTCAGAAGAAAGGGGACGGGCCTCGGAGTCGCGCAGGCGCAGTTGTGTCCCGGATTGCCAAGATGTCGTTCCCCAAGTACGAGCCGTCGCGCCTGGCTACCCTACCCTCTACCCTCGACCCAGCCGAATACAACGTATCTCCCGAAGCCCGGAAGGCGCAAGCCGAGCGGTTGGCCATAAGATCCCGGCTTAAACGGGAGTATCTGCTTCAGTACAACGACCCCAGCCGCCAAGGGCTCATCGTGAGTCGTGGGCCGGCCGGGCGGGAATCGAGGGCCTGAGTCCGGGCGGTCCCCCATCCCCGGCCGGGCAGCCCAGACCGGCCAAGGGAGGCCACGCAGAGGGGCGGCCACCGTTCCGGATCAGTGTTTTAGACTTTGGCCCTCTTCCAGGCCGAGAGAGCAGGCCCACCCACTAGCCCTTTGACCTTGGGCGGAGAGCTTGGTGGTTAAGAGGACGGTCCTGAATTCGCACCGGGCTGGGTTTGAGTCCCGGCTTGATCACTTCCCGCCTGGGTAATCTTGGGAAAATGACTCAACTCTGCTGGTTAGCCCCGATTTTCCTGTTTGAAAAACGGGGATAATACATGTTAGAATTAAATGAGATAAGGCACATGACTGGCCAACACAGTGCCTGGGCTGTAATGAGTGTTCAAATAACGTGTGTGTCATTTTTTAAAAAAGCAGTTTTTCACCTTTCAGTTCACAATTCATAGCAATACTGCTCTCTCCTGATGGGAATATATTTTGTTTATATCTTTTGAAGACCCCAGAACTCTGCAGCTAGTTGAAACTTTGTGGTCTTTGAAGTCAGAAGCCAAGGCAGAACATAATGGCAAACTAGATGACCTTAGTTTGCCTAACCCCTCTAAACGTTAGTTTTCTGATCCTTTTAAATGGGAAAGGTAGTCCATTCTTTATAGAATCATTGTAAGGTTAAATGAGATAGTTTGTATAACATTGCAGGCACTTAATACATAACCAGTAGATTCATAGCTATTATTATTTAGCGAGTGGGCTTTTCAATAATTCTCTGTACAAAAGCTGTTTAAATATGGTATCAAATATGATAATAAAAACAAAGCAACCAAAACTTTCCCGAGCAGTTGCATTGGTGTTCTGTAGGACTTTTTGGAAGTTAAGACAATTGAAGGAAGTTTACATTGTGCAGGCACTATCTAAACCCTTTCTGAATATTATTCAAATGTCACAAGTAGTCAAAGAGGCCCTGTTGTTACCCCATTTTACACATGAGAAGACGATATGGGAAAGACAAATAGGTCATAGAGTGATACACCCTTAGCAAGTGATGGAGCAGAATTTTAAACCTTGAACTGTGTAACCCAAAACATCTGCCTAACCAGTTGGCTTGATGTCAGAACCTGAGAAGAAAGTGTGGAGGGAGACATTTGTTATTTACATACACAGGGTTTGATGTGCCAGATGGCGGAAGTTTAAACTCCGGATTTTCTGTTTTCTAGTTCTGTGCCCTGGGACAGTTTCAATTTTGTCATGCAAGAGACAGTAATACCTGCCTCATTGGTGGTTCTGTTAATTAAATGAGTGCTTGGCACTTAATCATTTAATGATCAATACATGGAAATTCTTTGCCTAATCTTTACCAATGATTGATTCAGTGAGTAAGTAATTGCTTTTATAGGCCAGGCCCTGTTTTAGATGCTGAGGTGACTGTAGATTCCTGTTCTTGCAGAGCTTTCTTTCCAGTGGGGCAGACAAGTAATACACAGGTTAAAAAACTAAATTGTTTAGCATGTTAGTGGCAAGGGATAAGAAAAATAAAGCAAGGAAGGGATAAGGGATGTGTGTTATGTAGTAGGAGCTGAAATTTTAGATAGCCCTAGGGAAGGCCTTCCTTGGAAGGTGACATGAAGGAAGTAAGGTGAGGGAGCTAGCCACACAACTCTCTGGGAAAGTAGCATTTTAGGTAGAGGGAACAGCAGATGTAGGGGTCTAAGGACCCCTACAGAAGTGTGTCTGGTTAGTTGCAGAAATACTGAAGAGACCATTGTGACTGAGTGGAGAAATTTAGAGCAAAGTGGGAAGAGATGAGGTCAGAAAAGTACCTGGAATTAGATCAGACCAAGCTTTGTAGGTCGTTGTAAGGACTTTTACTGAGTACGTAATCTGCCCTTACATTTTAACATATCTCTGGTTGCTTAGTTGAAAATACATTATGAAGGAGAGCAAGGAGACTATTTAGGAGGCTTTTGAGGTAATCTATTAGGATTTTGACAGTGGAGATGGTAAGAAGTGGTGAGTTCTGAGTATATATTGAAAGTAAAACCAACCAGATTTGCTAGCAGATTGGATGTGAGGTGTAAGAGAGAGAAGGGTCAAGGATGATTCCAAGGTTTTTTGACCTAAGTGATCAGAAGAATGAAGTTGCTTTTTACCAAGATGGAGAAGAATGTATTCCATTCCAGGGAGTGGAATATTGGGAAATCAGTTTGAGATACATCACATTTGACATTCTTGTTAGACAACATGACAGTGTTGAGCAGGTAGTTGGACATTATGTCTGGAGTTCAGGCTAGAGGTCTGGGAATGTATAATTTTGGGAGTCATTGGCCTATAGATGGGATATTTAAAAGTATGTGACTGGAGGAGATAAGATCATCAAGAGAATGAATATAGATAGAGAAGACCATTGAAGTCTAAGCTCCAATATTAAGAGATTGGAGAGATAAGGAAGAAGAGAGCAAAAGAGACCAAGAGGGAATGGCCATAGAGTTAGGAAGAAAACCAGGCAGGTGTGTGCCCTGAAAGCCAAAAGAAGAAACAATTTCAAGGAGTGTTCACCATGGCAGATGCTGCTGATGGTTCTTTGGACATGGAGTGGTGTCCAAGAAGGAGAACTGTCTCCCATGGAGTGTGTTTTGGAACCTCTCTTAACAGCAGTACAGGTTCAATGAACTATGGCCATGGGACTGTTGATATCTTTATCAACTGAAATGACTGTTTCTGGAAGACCGATCTGGCAGATAAATACGTAAAGAGGTGACTGGTAGATTGAGAATTCTGTCCTGGGAGAATTCAAATATGTTAATAGCAGAAGGGATAGATAAAGAATAGATGTATTTATCCTTTCAGGTATTGAATTCATACATCCCCATAAACCTATTATATCTTGTGTCTTCACCTTTACTATTTTCTGCAAACAGGTCGGTTTAAAATGGATCTGTGGAAGATCCAGTTTAATTATTTTAATCCTATCCATCATGACTTCTTGGTGGTGTGTAGGACCTTGAATGTTCTCCTTTGGTATTAAAGTTTTAAAGCTGATTTCATCTGCTTATTTTTAATCTGCGTATCAGTTAATTAGAGCAAATAATTTTATAAAATCATTTGGGGATTTAGCTAATTAAATTTAATTATGTGTTTGGGGCAGATTTGCTGTCTTACATAGTTGTGCTAGTATAAGTATATTAAAATGGACAATATTTTTTCTTAACCAAGACAGTCTGATTATTTTTCTTTAACAACCTTGTCCTCACTACAAATTATTTTAATAGTGTAAAATGTAATAATTTTGCTTATAAAATATCAGCCAAGTCAGCTTAAAAATCTTAAAGTTCAGAGTTGGCTTACTTTAGTCTTCACCTTCCTGCAATTTATTTGAAGCCTGGAAAGACAGGGCAGGGTCAGGGGGTAGCATTAGAAAGGGTCCTGGAAACAAAGTACAAAGCATGATAGAGCATATGAAATCTGTCCTCATTGGGAATACTGTGGTTTAGTTGGTCACAATTCAAGAAAGACAATGAAGCTACAAAACAATCCAGAAAAGAAAAAAAATTATCAAAGAGAAAAAGTGGCTTCTCTGGTGGATTAAAAAGATTAGGTTTCTTAAATCTTAAGTAAATGGAAAGCTGAGGGGTGATACAAGAATCTTTTAAATTCTGAAGGACTTGAACAGGATAGGATCATCAGAGAGTTACTCAACAAATACTAGAAATGAAAGATCTTCCCTGAAGCAATATTCAGGGTGTACCCTTAACTATGGTGGAGCACAAAAGGCATCTCTTCTGCTCCCCCACAAAAGTTTTGATGAGATTGTTTCAGTGTGGTTAAGTTCCTATAACTTTTTGTTTTCCTGAATTTTAGGAAGATCCTGCCTTGATTCGTTGGACCTATGCAAGATCAGCAAACATCTATCCCAATTTCAGACCCACTCCCAAGACCTCGCTCTTAGGAGCTCTGTTTGGAATTGGGCCCCTCTTCTTCTGGTTTTATGTTTTCAAAACTGACAGAGTAAGTACCTGATGTGTAGTTTCTATGTGATAGGTTCCCCTGTGCTGGATGCAGGTCTTTCTCTTGGCATTTGTTACCAGTGCTCATCCCACCTTGGTCCTCTACTCTTCCTTCAGTTTCTCTCTCCTTTTATCTTTATTCCTTTCCAGCAGGAATTAAAACAGAAAGTTTCAATTACATGTTTGGTTTTATTGCTTTATCGTTTCAACTCATATTGAAATATACTTTGCTAAAAATCACAATAGTTTCTGAGTCTTTCAAATTTAATTTAATGGCCACTAGAATTTAAAATAATAAGTTGGTCAGTTTAAAGTTCTAAGGCTTGAACTTAGACTGAAAGAGTTTTCCCGGTGTGTTTTAGGTGATGTAAAGGAATTGTGCTGTGAGTATTAAGCAAGAGACTACAGAAGTAACTTTAAAAAGTTAACACTAAGGGCTCCTGGGTGGCTCAGTCGGTTGGGTGTCAGACTCTGGGTTTCGGCTCAGGTCATGAGCACAGGGTTGTGAGATTGAGTCCTACATCTGGCTCCACGCTGGGCCGGAGCCTCCTTAAGATTCTCCCCCTCTTCCTCTGCCTCTCCCCCGCATGCATGTGCATTCTCTTAAAAAAATTAATACAGAAGTTAAACTTTCCTATTTTGATTTACCTTTAAATATTATCTTTGCAAACCTTTATATTTAGCTTTCTTAGTTCATTTTTTTTAAAAAGATGTTTATTTGGGTTAGTATTAGCAGAATACATAAATCATTTAGTGTGTTCCCTGTTTATATGAATTCTAGTTATGTTGGTCACATTTTGTGGGTTAATGTTAAAACTTTGTAATATGCTAACAGTAGGAAAGCAAAAGCAGCCTGTGGTGGGAATCTGCCATCAGAGGCCATATGGTCACAGAGAAACCCCATTTATCTTTGACACTAGGCCACCCTGGTACTAGACCCTCAGCAGGCCTTGTGTTGCCATCTAGTCTGGAGCCCACTCATCTAGCTCTGCTTTAAACTGGCCAATCCACTCTCCTGTTAGAGCTTCTGTATTTTGATTGTCTGATAAATTACCTGCTTAACAAAAAGATAGGCCACACTTAATCCAGAAAGTGTTTGCATTTTGCTTTTGACATAACTTTTTAGTGGGGTAATATAATTCTTCCAACATGTGCATAAGATGTTTTTAAATAGGAGTGTTTTCTCATTGTCCCTTATTTCTTCAGACTGCTACTTCCTCACACGTACTCTGTAGGCTTTAGACAATGGGGGATTGGAATTGGGTTTGGAGTATTTCAGTCCTGTTTTTCAGATTGTACCATGGGTTATGACAAAATACATTGTGTTTTCCAGTACCTTTTTTGTTTGTATATTTTGCAAAATGGTCACCACAGTAAATCTTAGTTAACATCTGTTAACATCGTTACAAAAGACAATCTTTTTTCTTGTAATGAGAACTTAAGACTAATTCTCTTAGCAACATTCAAATATTCCATACGGTGTTACTAACTATAGTCACCATGTTTACATTACATCCCCATGACTTATTATTTTGTAATTGGAAATTTGTACCTTTTGACCCCCTTCACCCATTTTGCCCACCGCCCACCCCCTGCCTGTGTCAGCTACCAGTCTGTTCTCTGTTATCTAGAAGATTGTACTTAAGAAATGGCACAATTTCATTCCTTTTTTTTTTTTTTTTAATGGCTGAATAGTGTTCCATTGTATACATATACCCTGTCTTTATCCACTCATCCATAGAGGGACACAGGTTTTTCTGTATCTTGGCTATTGTAAATAATGTTGCAATGAACATGGGTCAGAAATGTGTTGTTTCTAATGAAGCTTTTTTTTTTTGCTTTTTGTTTTGTTTTGTTTTTTTGTTTTTTGTTTCTTCTGTCTGCAGGATAGGAAAGAAAAACTTATCCGGGAAGGAAAATTGGATCGAACATTGAACATTTCATATTAAGTCTGGCACCAAGAAGCAACAGTGACTCCCCTGGGCTCCAGATCTCTATATTATTGTTTAAATAAAGCTTCTATTAATCATTAAATACTTTCTCTTTCTTAATATTACCTTGATTCAACAAACATTTGCTGGATAATATGTAAGAGTTCACAGTTTCATGAAGAAACAGATTCATGTTCATTCATTTAGTCATTCAACAAATGAGCATCTACTATGAGCCAGGTACTGTGCTCTGTGCCCAGAATACAGCAGTCAATAAAACAAACTTAGGCCCTGTACTTAAGGAGTACACACTCTGACAACAGTTTATTCAGTGATTGTTATTTGTGAGCTCATATCTAGTACTACTTAATACCTAAACTTTTGTCTGGCTCCAGCCCCAGTGGAAAATGCAACAGAACAGTAACAACAGTGTGGTAAAAAAAAGAATAGGGATTCAGGAAAGTGATGGAGAAGCAGTTCTGTCTAGGGAGATGGCATTGATCTAGGCCCTGAAGATCACAGGGCTAACAGGCAAAATGGAAGCATGAGAAGGCAGGGCGTGTTGGGTATGGTGCGATACGGGCCACTGGGGTGAGAAGACAGGAGGCCACATTGAACGGAAGTAAAATGGTTTAGCACATGGGCTTTGGAGGTTAAATTGGGATCAGAATCCTAGCTCAAGCTTAGCAGTTGGAATACAAGGCCTCCTGTTTCCCCATCTCTGCCTACTTCCTTATAAGGTCATGAAGATGAAAATGAGATAACAGTATTGCTCAATAAAATAAAGCTACGTGCTTTATGGTTCAGTCTCGAAACAGTAGGCAGAGTAAGGTGCTATAGGGAGAACATGCTCTTCAGGGCTGATTTACATTATTATGTTGGTTTTAACTTTCAGAACATACTCAAAGTTTTCTCTTGTTCTTGTATGAGTCTGGTATACCCTGAAACTCAGAGCCTGAGAGACAAGCTTGTGTGCAGGTAGTTTATATTAGGGAGTGATCTGAAAGAACAAGTGGCAGACTGGTAAGAGTGAAACAGGGCTAGAGGGACCGCCCATCAAGTGTGTGCTATTGGCCTGTTGCCTCAGAGCAGCGGGCTCAATTCCACTAGGGACCATCTGAGGAGCCCTGTGGAATGTACACAATATTCCCTGCAGACAAGAAAAAGCAAGTATCAACTAGCTCCTCCCCCAGTTGGTCATGAGTTGTCCAATGCAGTTAACTCTTTCACTTCCAGGTATGGGCGAGCCTCAGAATGGCTGAGGGTTCTTATGGGCTTCTCACGTGGAAGGGGAAGGAAGCTGAGGGCAGAAAGTAAGTGATGTGCTGTACAGCTGAGGTGGCATATTGTCAGGTCACACCTGCAGGAGCTCAGAGCTGCAGCAAGGCAATTGGAGTAAAAAGATTGGGGCCAAGAGGAAGCGATACAGGCTCAAGAGGTAGACGATTTCCTCATCTGCTCCATGTTCTGCTTGGATCTGTGCACACGTTAATCTGCGACGTCATTCGGGGAGGTGACTAGGTACAATCTCAGTATAGGAGGGTTAGTGGAACAAGCTTCAGTCCCACACTGTTAAAACTAGTCTGAAGCTGTAACTGAGATTGATCATTTCGCCCCACCACACTTTCTAAGTTTTCCTTCCTTGGCCATCACTTTAGAAGGTCTAGAATGTTTGCCTGATGGAATCACCAGGACCTTTATCTTCAAGGCCGGAACCCTAGTTACTCTTGTATCGTTAGGTCTTTGTTGCAGCAATTGCCTATTTACATTCATCACCGGACATGGAAGCACCAAGAAGCAACAGTGACTCCCCTGGGCTCCAGATATATCCCTTTAGGCCCCCATTCTGTAGTAGCAACCTTAGGTCCTTGTAATGAAGGTCATTTACTGCTGCTAATATGGAAACTTTTTTTTTTTTTTTTTTTTTTGGTCTACTGTTTCCCAGGCATAAGAAGCCCAAAATGACCAGGAGGTAATCACAGCTTCAGATTAAAGTGAAATCCTCTGACATTGTGATTTATAGTAAGAAATATATATTTAGTCTTTGTCCTTGTTTCTGGCACAGAGCTCTTAAAACCCTCAGGATTTCCTAAGTGATAAGATAGAGGTGTCTTTTGTTATATTACTGAGCTAAGTTTTGGACCACACTTAAGCTGGGGCTGGTTGCCAAGAGAGCCAACTGTGATTAGAGGTTGGAACTGTTAGTCCCACTCCCTGACCTTGCATTTGTATCCCTGTTCTCCCACTACTTACTGGTGAAGTAACCTGGAATGTATTTAAGTTCTCTGTGACTCAGTTTTCTTATCTTTAAAATACATATACTAGTAATACATTGTTACTAGATGGTTATTTATTTATTGTTATTTATTGTTATCCTTGACTTTTTGAGGAATCTTCATACTGTTTTCCACAAGTGGTTGTACCAGTTTGCCTTCCTACCAACAGTGCACAAGAGTTCCTTTTTCTCCACATCCTCACCAATACCTGTTGTTTCTTGTGGAGTTTCTCCATTCGGACAGGTGTGAGGTGATATCTCATTGTACTTTTGATATGCATTTCCCTGATGATGAGTGATGTTGAGCATCTTTTCATGTGTCTTTTGGCCATCTGGATGTCTGAGTTCTTTGGATATGTCTGTTCATGTCTTCTGCCCATGTTTTAATTGGGTTATTTGGTTTTTGGGGTTGAGTTGTATAAGTTCTTTATATACGTTGGATACTAACCCTTTATTGGATATGTCATTTGTAAATATCTTCTCCCATTCCATAGGTTGCCTTTTAGTTTTGTTGACTGTAAAACATTTTTGTTAACATTGAGAATTTATTGAGCAATAGGTTCTTAAGAGTTTAATCAATTTCTAAAGATTTTTTTATTACCACAAACAATGCCCCAAATCACACCCAGAAGTGGTCTGGTGAGAATACCAATTACCATGTCATCTGAGTGCTTGATGTTACCATGTGTCTGACTGTTACTCCTGGCCCTGAGCACTGGGCACAGGAGCCTACATTGGTATTGCTGTCTCTGTTGGCCCAAAAGCTCAAGCTTATAACAACCAAACCACAGAGAGAGTTCCTTGAGGTCCCCATATCTTCCCATCACTTGCTCCTGAGTTCAGGAGCATATGATTGGCTGTGCCTGACTTCTATCTGCAAGGAAGGCTGAAAAAGCAAGCATATGGCATGTTCAGCTCTAAAGTATGAGGCAGATAAAGAATTCCCAAACATAAGAAAGTGGTTCAAATGTTGAGCATCCAAAAATGACAAGGAACCAGAATCAGATCTTAAGGCCCTTATCACAATTAAGGAGTTTAGACTTCATCTTGATGGCAATGGGAGCCACTGAAGGTATTAGGCAGGAGTAACCGGATGGGATTTGCATTCCTGGAAGATCATTCTGGATCCTGGAGGAGGAGCTCAGGGCAGGAAAGGCTAGAGGATGACCAGTAATCAGGCTGTTGTAAGACTTCAGGCAAGAAATGATTTTCAATTTTGAGACAGCCCTCTATGCAGAACAAAGCAGTCCCTGCTAATCCTAGGATGACTCATTTGGATGTGAACGTGTCGAAAGCTTTATGAAAGTCTAAATATATTATCTCTATTAGTTCCCCTTTTATGCACATGCATGAGAAGCCAGTCTTCTTAATAATTCCTTATCCATGTATGACATCCCTTCCGCTCTCTGGGACAATATTGCTTCTGTAACAGACTGGTTTGTTTAAGTACTATGTCTTTTCACCCTTTATTATGGATCCTGCCTGGAGAAAAAGATGACATTCATGCTCTGATCAAAATCCCACTGGGTTCATTCCCTGACTTATTTTCCATTTTATTTTTTCTCATTCTTGATAGCACTTGACACAGTCTTCTCATAACTTCGGGGGAGATGCAGAGTACTGGTTATTTCTCCATTCTTCAGGATCTTTAATGGAGTATTTGAAAAGATGAGAAATCTGTATGAGAAACTATCGTTATCAAATATGCGTGATTTAAAAATATGGACAGCACCTTAAAATTAACTCTAAATATATTCAAAGACTGAATTTCAAAGCTTCTGCTGCTACTTTCTACCATTTTGTGAACACACAGAATTTTATCATGTTTCTAGGAGAGGATCCATGTGTACCTCTGACTGTAATGCTTCCACTTGTTTCCTCGCTGGCTGCCTTGTTTACTGCCATTTCCCTAGCTGAGATAGAGACCCCTTCTCTTGATACTGTGACCTGGAGGGATACTGAACTAAGTCATCCACCTGGAGACCCTTCAACATCCCAAGAAAGTGCAGTGTGCATCGATCTCATTGCCAAACTTCAGGATTTAAAAGTTTAAAGTCAAGCTGAAAGTCTGACATCTGATCTCTGAACGTTGCTGGTGAAACTTCTGAGATTTCTGCAGCAAACTTACAATTAGAATTCAAGTTCTTTTCCTCCATAATCACAAGGAGTATCACCTGATCAGTTTTGAGTCAATTCTTTACTTCTATCACCAATTGCATTTAATTCATTCCTTTCTTATTTAATAATTAGGCTCTAAAAATACTGGGGGTAGGGCGCCTGGGTGGCTCAGATGGTTAAGCGTCTGCCTTCGGTTCAGGTCATGATCCCAGGTCCTGGGATCGAGTCCTGAGTCGGGCTCCCTGCTCCTTGGGATCCTGCTTCTCCCTCTGCCTCTCTCTCTCTCTCTCTGTCTCTCATGAATAAATAATTAAAAATCTTTAAAAAAAATAAACAAAAATATTGGGGGTGGGAGTGGGGAAAGGAGGGAACTGGCTGAGGCTGCTCCAGAAATCAATATAGGAAGGACTCAGGGGTTGCAATCTGATATGAAATTGTTGTGAGTAGGAGGACAAGGTGTAGACTCTTGAAACTGCATTTGCATGGTTAAGCACATTTTTTTCTACTTACATTATGCTTCATAATTAAAAACATGAAGTTTGCTAGAGAGGGTTTTATTTATGCTTTATGTAGGATGGAGACAGCATCAAAGAGTTACTACTTTTTATATGAAGTGGCTTGGGTGAGGGTAGATGGAGATAAGGGTGGTCAATTACCCTGAAGCCATCTATTAGAGGCTGGATAGACAGCTTCTCCTCCAAAATCATGCT